GGTATTATTACGGTGTCGTATGCCAGGTGCCCTAACTCAGATGTCATAGATTATGTAATTTATAGATGCGATTCTATTCTCTATCTATAGAATTTATTGAAGCTTAGTTGGAACTCGTTGATAGTATGAAGTTAATCTAAGACTGGTAAATATCAGATGTGTGAAATTAATGGTGAAAAGGTGAAATTTAAAAAAAAAGGTATATAATTGGGTCGATCAAATTAACTACTTCCATTCTTATGTATTTGTTTTGAAAACGATTATAAAGGTTGCAATTGACTACTACTACTACTATTAGACAGTAGAAATTTATGGTCATACGTGGGAAAGACCAACAACGAACCTATTCAAAATAAATCCTAACTAAATTTGTGTAATGTCAAATTGTCTCTGACCAACGATAGTGACATAGATATGTCTCGTCTATATTTTTTTATATTCTATGGCTTTCCGATCAACATGCGGTGCGCGGCGATGCGTGTTTTGGTATGCATTGTTGCCCGTTGCGTACGCATTGTCTTAGTTGTCGCCTTGTTCGTATCATGTCAAATATATATGTGTATAGGAACCGCTTATAAGAGGAAAAACGAATCAATTGACGTTAAATTACTTGAAATATCCTCAAATATATGTTCAGGAAGCATCCCATCTAAATCAATAACACAGACAAAAAAAGCGCATAAAATCGCTTAAACGACAAGATTTTAACAAAAAACATACAGACGAATTGAGTACCTCTTTCTTTGGGAAGTCGGTCAAAAATAATCTTACTATCTTAATCATACTAATATTATAAATGCGAAAGTTTAGATGGATGGATGATTGTTAGAGTTTGTAGCCTAAACGGCTGAACGGATTTCGATGAAATTTGTCATAGATGTAGAGGATAGTCTGGAAGAACACATAGGTTATTCACTTTGTTTTTTTCAATACCACACGGACGGAGTCGCGTGCGAAAGCTAGTATTAAAATAAATTGTTGTATACGAACGAATGTTTTGACTACACCTTATTGAGGGTCGGGATTGCATTTCGGGCGACGGCGTCCTCGATTATGTGACGACACTTTGACAGTTTACAATTGGACTTCCTCAGGTGGGGAATGGGGCCGCGTCGTGCACAGTTAATGCGAATTTAGGGGACCCAGACGCGACGGAATGCTAATTTCATATAGCCGTATATCACAACACATCGTCATACTAATATCAAAAATGCGAAAGTTTAGATGGATGGATGTTTGTTAGAGTTTGTCGTCTAAACTGCTAAACAGATTTCGATGAAGTTTGGTACAGATGTTGAGGATAGTCTGGAAGAGCACATAGGCTATCTGCTTTTGTATTTTTTTTTAATAACAGATGGACGAAAGCTAGTACATAATATTTTACGAAGTATATAGCCATTTATGGTGTGAGTTATAATGAAATATTGTATGACGCCAAAAAATCATACATTGTTTTTTACAGTTTTGTCACTGGTATCCACCGACTTTAGTAAATGGACAGGTTACACGACATAGCATTATTACCTATTTTATTTTAGTCATTTTAGCGCTGACAGCTGCAGTAAATGGCTGTAACGAGAATGTTAACTATTAATAGAGATAGAAATAACTTGGATTAACTGGCGTATTTAAATCGGAATAAAGCAAAAGCAAGATTCCACAATCACATGCATATATAATCACTCTATTAATTGGTGAGTTACAAAGGGTGTTGTGAATATTCAGTTAATCGTGTCACACAACGGTACTTACAACCGGTGGACCGGCCCAGGGACGATTTACGCACCATAAAGCCTTTGTAAACGAGGTCGCGAAAATTAAAACGGTAAATAAGGTAACGTATCCAGTAATTGTTCGCATTTATACTTAATTAAATCATCACTAAAATAGAAAAACTAAAGAAAACACAACGCGAAAGTTTAGATGGATGTATGTTAGAGTTTGTAGCCTTAACAGATAAACGGATCTCTAAGAAATTCGACATAGATGTAAAGCATAGTTTGGTAGTGTTCTTCACACAAAGGCTACTTTTTATCTCGGAAATAGTTACAAGTCCCGTGGGACGCAATAATCTATACTATTATAATAAAGCGTAAACACACACTTCTTTGTTGCCTAAGATGCCAGCAACTACAGCATATTTTTGAATAATTCATTTTTTAATAAAAAGCCCTACACTTAAGTCACGCTTTAGGCTATATATTTCACGCCATTAAACTTAGGGGGTAAATATTTTGGATAAAAACCCTAATGTGGGAAAGATACCAAAAGTTGCTGCCAACATCAAGAAAGCAAGATTGCTAAGGTTTGTCATGTCATGTCATTTTGACATTTGCTATTAATAATTTGACAAATGTAA